AGCAATGTATTGGTTTTTTTAGATAAAAAAAGTTACGACAATTCACTAAGCTGCCTCTCAGGCAGACTTCAGTTTTCTGTCTTCTTGCCTGTCCTGAGCTCCAGATATTCACAATAGATACTCAAGAAATCCATCCTTTCAGAAGTCCATTCTGAAGGGGAATGGCTTGCAACTTGCATATTAATATAAAATATCATTACTGCCTTCACTAAGCAACAGTGCTTTCTCATTACTGTTTCTGGAAAAAAACCTCCTAGTTTACTGAAAATATCTCCATTATGCAAACTGCATTTATTGCTCAATCCTGGTCCAGGCATTTCCACAGAGCTGTCTAAACATCTCTTTACAACACAATAACAACAAAGCATTCTAAAAAAAGACTAATAACCAATAGCATGTTTCCATTAAGATTCTGACATGAGCATGCATCATCAGAGCATAACCAAAACCAAGGAAATCATTGCATCACAGTTATTGCATCTTATTTAAGCTATCAAATTAGAAATCGGAAGGTTTTCTACATCAGTAATACATACAGAAAGGAAGATGAAGACCAACCACTGGATTAAAATATGGCAAGTATGAATCCTGTCTGAAGAAAAGCTGAATATTAAGTTGGAACATAAGCTTTTGGAACTCTTCCTGTTTGGGCAGTAACCTTTAGTGACAAAAAATACAAAGTTCACACATGGCTGAGTTTAAGCATTCTTAAAATTTATTAAGCATGACATTACTTCAAGTATTTTCAAGATACTCCATATGGATCCATGCAGAAGAGCTATTCTGACCAGCCAAATCCCTTCTGGAAAAAACCTAGACCTCATGAGATGAACACTTCATTGTTAAGAATTTGTAAACAAATCTATTAATACAAATTACCACCAGGATTAAATTAGTGCTGGCCTTTCTGTGAGACTGCCTGAAGTGGGGAGGCTCAGCAGGTGACCTTGAGAGTTCCCTTCCAGCTTAAGTTATTCTGTGCATACCATGTTACTCTCGATATATCACACTGTGACTGCATGAGTTAGTGCAAGTCACTCTGTACAAAAGCAGCAATGGCGCTATCAGAACAGACACAGTAATCAAAGCAAAGACAGTACAAGCTAAAAGGCCACTTTTCCTGGAAGTTGGACATCAGCTCTACAGAGCATTTCTGTTTGTTCTTTTAGTGACAGACCCTAGACCTTCCAACTCCAAAGCCGAATCCCACAAATGAACCACTAACAGGACTGCCATCAACACAGACTCCTAGTTCTGTACATAGATGTCCCCATTGAAAATTTGACATTAGGAATGAAAGAACTACAAAACTTTACGGTAATGAAGGGTATCTTTAATAAATGCCACCTGGCTTTGACAACCAGCTACAGCAATAATTTGGGATGTCCAGGCTAGATTAATATGACAAAACCTAAATCTGTGCATATATGGACTTCTTGTAATACCCATAATTTCATCTCATCCCTTGACCACATAGCAGAACTTTTAACTTGAATTCAAGCCTTCATCCTGTTATAAATCAATTAAACACCTTTGAGGTGTTTCTCCTTACCTGCTAAAAGCAACTCAGTGTCATGTATTGACTTTCATTGTCCTCCCCTGTAACTTAATTCACATGGCCACTTCTTACCAGTACATGATGATGTAATCCAGTGAGTATACAATAAATATTCCTCCTTTAGTCCTCTATTCCATGAAAAGCAGCTCTTTTCAGTCCCAGTAGTTAATACAGCAAGTAGTCCATCCAGACTCCATCTTTTTCATTCAATTAAAGACTATAGTCACAGGAACTTATTTTGGAGGGAAGACATTACAATTCTACACTTGAAATACCTGAAGAAGCTATTTTAACAAGTCAATTTAACAAGTCTTCCTCATTAAATAAAAAGGGGAAAGACAAGCACCTTATAAAATATCCCTGTAGATTGGTATGTCTATCAATCTCTGCTCCATGTGATACAAATGATAAAAGAACAGAAATTACTGCCATTTTCTGAATACAACATTCATGTCTCAGTTAATACTATGACTTACCATTAGGCTGATCTTCAGTGCTGGAAGTACAGTAAGACTGCTCAGCAGTTTTCCAAATTTATGCCTATGCATCCAACGCAGACATTCTGTACTACTAATAGCATTAGTTACACACAGAAAATCCTTATACTCCTCATTGAATCCAAACGTGCATACCTAATCTGAATGCCTAAAAGAAAGCTTCATGAAAACCCAATCACTGTTTCCTATAAGGAAACATTACAGCCATCAGTACCATCTCATAGCACTTATGTCCTGCTTTGTACCAAAGGAAAACTTACTGAAACACAGCAGGTTGGGAGATAGGTAGTTACTATGCCTGACTCTGGATCAAGCCAGATCAAGGAAAACTAAACTTACAGTATACTGAAAGACTTGAAAAATACTCAAGATTAAGATCCCAACTACATCAAATCAGTGTTAGTGAACATGAAGTAAGATTCCTAGTAAGAACCCTGACTTCCCCTCTCTACCAAAGTAATCACAAGACATACAGTGAAGAGTAAGTTCCACTGATAGCAAATAGTTTTCACACATTATCATCTCAACATTTATTTCATCAGCTATTGCTGTTCTCCTATGCATTTAAATATGTGCTAGTAAAGTTATAGTAAGACATAACAAGGAATGTGAAAGTAAAATTAACTATGTACCTGTTGTGGTTTAACCCATCAGGCAGCTGAACACCACACAGACACTTGCTCACTCCCCCCCTTCCTCAGTGGGATGGAGGAGAGAATTATAAAAAAAAAAGGTAAAACCCATGGGTTGAGGTAACAACAGTTTAATAAAACAGCTGAGGGGAAAAAATACATAAAAATAATAAAATAATAATATTAGAATATAAAGATTACATATAGCAAGTGATGCTCAAAGCAATTGATGCTCAAAGCAATTGCTCACCACCTGCTCACCGATACTTAACCTGTCCCAAGCAGTGATTGCTCCTCTTCCCCAGCCGACTCTCCCCAAGCATGACATCCTATGGTCTGGAATAGCCCGTTGGCCAGTTGGGGTCAGCTGTCCTGGCTGTGCTCCCTCCCAGCTTCCTGTGCACCTGGCAGAGCGTAAGAAGCTGAAAAGTCCTTGACTAGTCTAAGCACTACCTAGCAACAACTAAACTATCACTGTGTTATCAACATTCTTGTCATCCTAAGTCCAAAACACAGCACTACACCAGCTACTAGGAGGACAACTAACTATCCCAGCTGAAACCAGGACAGTACTTCAGGAAGAATATTTTAAACATTTATCTTTGAGCATAATTAATTTTCTATTGAAAACATAGGTTTTAAAAAATACCAAACAACTATCAAACCAGAGGCATTCATGCTAGAACTCTGGCTTAGAAGAATAACTTCTGAGAAATAAGAGACAGAATAATAGCATGACAGTTTCAAAAGTAAATTCCTATATCCTAGAGATGAAATGATCCAATAGTGTTCCTGAGCCTCTAATACTTCCACAGCAATCACTTAACTGCAGCTAGAAATAATTAACAAGAGTTTACTAGGTTTCAGAGATACCATCTCAAACCACAATCAAGCAATTAAACTGCCAAATACCACTCTCAAAGCATGAGCCTGATTGAAAATGGAACAACTAAAATACCAGACTAACTTTTAGAACAGTGCCACTTTTTATTCTTTCTCCAACTCTTGTTTTTTTTTCAAAGTACTCAAGAAGCTCAAGAACTGAAAAAAAAAAAGCAACCATTTAACTCCAAGTTATCAGATGCAGCAAGTGCCAGACAGAAGAAAAAAAACCTCTGTAAGAAGTTCCAGTGTAACACACTTCCTAGTCAGAAGATAAGCTCGCCAAGTTCCCTTCACAAAGTGCAATGTACCAAAACATTCCAGCAGCAACAGCAGCATCACTAACTTCTCACTCCGCCACCACAACTGGAATTCAGGCTGCTGAGATGTGCTCTACAGCATACTTCCAGATGTTCCTTGGCCTACCTCCTCGCCATCACTTTCCTGTCTCTGTCTGGTTGCATGTTAAACCTCTTGCTAGTGAACTTGAGACCTTTTTGGAAGTCCTGATCAGAGGTTGGTACTACTATGAACTGCCGAAAGTCAGGGTTCCTAGAGGCTGTTGTTATGAACCATATATTTCTAAGTCAAATTCTATCTGTATGCTGAATATTAGTAAGAAAGAAAACTTCTCATTAATTCAGTTTGAAAAAAACCACATCTGGTGGAATAAGAACATAATAGTAAGATATAACACTACTGCTCTAGGAACTTTTGTGCTAGACAGAAGTCCAGCTACTTTTTCCCTAAATCACCCAACTGGACTGACTATTTAATGGTAACACAAAAGCTACAGCATACTTTTTTGCAAGCATTAGTCATAATTACTATATACCATAATTCTGAAAGCCACAAAAAGCAGATGTTTTCTTTATCTTTCAAGGCCAATTCATCTTTATGAGATTTCATTTAGATGTAGGCTCTTTATTCTTACCAGGGTAACTGGATCTTTTAGCATTAGACAAAAACGACAACACACTAACTTTTTCAGAGGTGGAAGCATGTGGTAGAACATTTTCTTTTGGAAATGTTCTAAAGAGTTATGTTCAGGAAGTACAATGAACTACGACCCTCTCTCTCCAGTGCAAAGCATAAAGACCGTGACATATGATACCTCCTTTGGGAAGTTGGTCTGGGGTTTCAGGCCAACCCCCAGAAAAACTTTGCAGCCTCCAGAGGTACCCCTACCCACAGAAACCTGTGGATGATAAGAGATGAAAAGCTGCTTACTGCAGCCACAAATGGTAACAGCTTGTTTTCTTTTTAGGAACTCCTTGCCCTGCTCCACAGTGTTCCAGTGATACCACTAACATTCATAATAGATGACCTAACAGCATTTGCCATACCCAGGTTTGCTTTCACCAGACATTAGCCTACAAATATCTAACACCCCAAAACATGAAGAGATGACAATAATGAAGTAGCACTTACTGTAATCACAGCCTTGCTCAGACAGATAGATCCTCTGCAGCCATACTCCGTTTCATCTTCAGACTTGTAATAACTGAGTGTGTCGCCTTTCAGAGTTACCCATCGATCCTGCCACCCATGAATGTAGTTGGTCCACTGTAAAATAAAATTCCAAAGATCAGCTAATAGAAAAATAACAATAAAAGACAGTATGACTGATATCTCTCAGGCTTCCAACTACCAGGAGAAAAAAGTAACTTATTTTTAAAAGGTCTTCCCAATTGAGAAATTTATTCTGCTCAGAGCTCCTACAATAATTATACAAACTCCTGAAAAAGCAGTTGTTTCAAAGGAACAAAAAAATAACAGATGTCTTGACCACAACTGCATTGCCAAGGCCAGTTAAAATAAAGGTAATAAATATACTGATGACACAAAATGAGGAAAGGGCGGGGTAGGGGGAAACCAAACATTACTCACTAAGGTGAGTTTAGCCACCTGATTTAAAATCTGGAGTTAGACAAAAAGCCAAACTTAAGTGGGACATGAAATAATTTAGTTTATATAAAAACTGATTTCTACGAAAATTTTACTAAGTGTTAAGTTCATATAATTACAAAATTGCCATTAACCCACAGTACAGTATATAACCATTGTACTGCCTACAGTAATCAGTTCTTTACCACTTTTATATTGCCCATAGATACTGCCCATAAATATTGCTTTAGGTTTTAACTCCTAACCACTTTCTCATTAAGAAGATACTTGCTCATCAGCAGATATCCAAGCATCCTTCATTATTCAGATTTTTCTAGGGACTCCACATTCACACATGGAATAAAACCGATATTCCACGAACAAGTCCTGGATTTATTCTACAGAGATCTAGTAAGAAGTGACTAAAAGTTCTGGTTATTTATCTTATCTCTGCAACATCTTCCTAACTGCACTCTGTAGAATCATGACACTGATAGAGCATCATGACTGTTCTGTAACTGACTAACACCGGTGCTTCAATCACAGTGCAAAAGTTACAGATTAGATAAAAATGGAAACACAAGCATTGAAAATAATTTTATCATGCAAGTATTTCTTTGGCCATGACAACTGTTCTTTGACAAAAATCTTTGAGAAATAGATGCTTCTTAGTTAAGTCTAAACTTTATTCACCATTTCGTAACATGTAAATGGGGGTAGGGAAGAAAGTCAACTAACAAGCTCATTTTCACATTATATACATGTGTTAGTTAATACATGTTCCATAACTACATGTTAACTCTAGTAATAACAAGAGGTCTAAGGAAAACCAGTTCTACAGCAAAGAAATTCCTAACAGTATTCAAGCGTAGGTAAGACCTTGATGCTGATTTGCTCTCCAAAGATAAAGCCCTTTTTGATCACTTGATACACTGAATTGCTAAGTTCAGTATTTCTTAAAGAAAGCCTTAGCTGTGCTCAGTACACGAACCGGTAGCACAAGCGCTTATGGAGGAGTATGACTTCTTGCCTTCCTCTCTTCCCATTGCACGTTGCCAACGCCTCCCAGATGTAAAAGGCAGAGTTCAAAGTTACCTTAGGCAAAAGAGCAAGGGACAGGGAGGAAAGCACCTTTCTTTCTCTGACGAAGTTAAGCGAGGCAAATACAGTATTCAATCATGCATTTGCTGTTGCAGTCAGTGCTTGCTGTTGCAATCAAAATGTGCCATGAATTAAGAGACTCCTTAAAGTATACTGGGTAGGCACAAGGTTTTGGCAAAGCACCTGGATTCTTGCTCTTCCGTATTGACACATCCACCTTAAAATTGTTAGCAGGAAATACAATGTGAAAAAGCCTAGAGTTCTGAAACATTTACAGAGACCAGCAGGATATACTTCTAATAAGCCTCTCTTACCAAATAATTCTGTTTCCTTCAATGTTTCTCTCTTTAGTGAAGGGCACAACAACTGAAATGCTACTAAGCCCATGGAGAACCGCAGCCTACTTTATGGCTTTAGAATTTAATTATACACAATAAGTTATAGGTATTTCCTTAATAGAAAGTTCAGTATACTTCCATTTCATTTTAATTAGTTTGTCACAAGTTCTACTGAGACTTCAACTAACAAAAGGTAAACTTACCCCTCAAGCATATTCACTGCAACAGGTTTTACCATACATGACTATTTGGATTACATCCCATGTTCTCACAGGAAAGGCAGCATCAGCTACGCTCAGCATAATTACCCAGAAAAATAAGAAGTTTGCACATACATAAGCTACAGAATGTCAGAAGCCATGGCTTCACCTGCTAGGCCAGTAAGAAAGCACCTGAGTTAATAAATTGGCCAACATAAAAACCAATTACATCCCACAAATATTAAAGTTTCTAACGATGGAAGCCTCTAATAAAAGAAAAACCTTGCAATGGAAAAAAGAACCCAATAACACTACACTAAACCAAACCCTCACATTTTAGATACTGCAACATCTCGTATCCATCTCATCTTCTCCCCCCCTCCATCCACTATTAGATGATAAGACCTTAAACATGAAAACCAGGACCTTTTTTCTCCTAACCACTCCTCTCATCTCTGGGCTTAGAAACATTTTCAGGCTGGAAGTAGTTCACCAAGTCCCTCACAAAAAGGTGAGTGCTGGCCCCATTATGGCCCTTTTCTCAGCATCCAGGGCCAGTTTATCATCTCTGTATCCTGTGACCTGTGCCTCCTGCCCTGGCTTGTGTCCAGCCTCATCGTGTAGGGGAGGAAAAAGATTAAAAACATAAATGCTTTAATCCTAAAGATATTTCAACATCATTCTGAAGGCTCTTTCTGTAATTAAAAAAACCCAAACAACTGTGTTCAAACTTACTCATTCAACTTCGAAGTAGTCCTAAAAATAAAATTTCCCAGTGTTACCCAACAAATACTTGCAAGTCATCTTATTTTCAGTGATAAAAGAAAACAAAATAATGTTTATTTTTAAAAGGGGAAACAAGCTGTAGGGCCATTTTCCTTCCGCTCCTCCCCACCTCCAGTATCTCTAGCTGCGGGAGTATTTTATTGCCCCGTTTTGGTGCTCGGACTAAAGGCTGCGCCGCTCCGGTGCCCGCTCCTGGGGAGCGACCGGGGGCTACGCCTGCCTCCGGGA